AGCTATATCCCTGGCCCCCGCTATCATTTTATATTCACCTTCATGTTTGGTCAGTCATCAAATCATGTGATTTTCTCTGTTCCTAAGCATAGACTGAATGTGCTTTCTGTCCTTACCTATTTAATATAACTGTCTTCTTTCATCTTTACTACTATAAGATAGCCTTGTAGTTTGCTTTTTTTCTCTGTTTAAAAAAAAATCTCTAGTTGAGTTATTACTTTGTACATACATAGGTTTTGGAGTAAGCAAAATGTAAAGGAAGGAAATAGAAAAACGAGTTCAAAGGTAGGCTGTTTCACTGATGCTTTTACAATTGCAACAAAGAAACAGGGCAGGACAAAGCTAACATTTCACCCAGTGTCCAGTGACCCCTGACATTCCAAATTCCGTGTTCATTCCTGTTCTCTTCTTCTCTGCATACTCTCTGAGCTGTTCCTGTATTGCTGTGGTATTAGCCCGTTGCTTCTCCTCAATGCTGGAATCCAGCTGACTCATGAATCTAACTGTTACACGTATTTGGATATTTTTTGACACCTTAAATTTAATGCAGATGAAACTGAGTTAATTATACTGTGCCAACTCATTGGCTTCCTTCCCCTTATTCGTGATTGATCTTTTGCTTATTCTTATTTAGAAACGTCTTCCTATGATCTTATGTCATGAATAACAGTGCCTTCTTTGAAAGGCCCCTTCAGTGCCCTCGGGTTCTCACCTTCCAAAGTTTCTGACACCTGTCCTTGAGGCCCAGGAGAAGTTATCTGACTCTGGTTTCTCGTTTCTAATCTTGAAATGCCGTCTGCAGTGATCATGCCATACACGTCACAGTGTGTCACGTCAGACCTCACCTGAGCAGCTGACCCGCCGGAGAGGAGCCCAGGAGAGGGAAGGAGAAGTTTCAGCAACAAAAGACTAAGGGTCCCTAAAGGAGGAGATAAGGGGTGATTGCTGCTGCACTCATGTGCAAACCAGGGAGCTCTTTTCTGCTTATTCAGTGATTCTTTATACTTGATTTCCTCACAGATACTCTGTGGTCAGAAGGACTTGCATTAGGTGGATAACTGACATGGAATTTAAGGGCTTCTGGCAGTGTTGACCATCCTTAGCAAAGAAGCTTAATTTTAATTCTTGTGTTTAGTTGTTCTCTTGGTCAGTGAATAGTTCTGATGTCCAACTTGCTACCTGAAGGTTAGCACATTTCACATCTAACCCTGATCCAGTTTATTTAGCAAATATTTGCTACACATCTAGTAAGAGACTCTACATTCGTTGTTGCAACAGATTTCTTCCATGGGACAAAGTGGGCAGGACCTCAAGAAGGCGCTGTCCTTGTCTGCTGCCTTTGCTGTGCATTGCTGTACCATAGTCCTGCTCTGAGCCATTGTACACAATATTGCACTGTGCCGAAGGCAGCATTACCAGACGCCCGTGTAACAGACTGGCCACCTGGCTCAAATGGCTCACATTTTTCCTGTCATGGCCCTTTTTCTCTTGAAACCAAATTATTTCTTTTGGTAGCATGATAACTGAATGGTAAAAACCCTTTTTTAAGAAAAACTTAAGCCATTTCTTTCCTTTGGACTTTGGTTGCTCATTAAAACATTTAGCAATATAATTGAAAGTAATTTGAATAGTTAATTATATAGTGTTATACTTTCCAGTTATACATCTCTTTAAATAAAGCATCCATCATTTACAGAGTATAATTTGTCACTGGGTTGCTGAAACAAATACAATTATATGTTAAATGTTAGACAGTTCCCACAAATCAACCCTGGATCTTGTAAAAATTACCATAGACTTAACTTTTGAATCATACTTACAGGGCCAAAAGCGAAAACTTGTGCCTCTGTGTTTTGACATTCCATCTGTTTCGTGTCTGGTTCTAAATCATATTTTTGACAGTGAAGACCCAGATTAAAGCTATGTCAATGTTTTGGCAAAATTGACTGATGAGTTTAATCAGCTAAATTGTCCACTTAGTCTAACAAATGCTTTGACAGCGTGATTTGCTTATGTGTTGTTTTTGGTTTAATTAACTTGTTTTTAACTTAATTGACTGGTTAAGTCAACATAATATAGCCAGATGAATTCAGTGTTTGGAAGCTGTCCCAAAGTAATTTTTCTTGAATGGCTATACCAAAGTTAAGAAACAAACTTGTCTTATAACACGTGCAAAATCTACTCTAAAACACTCTGAAAGTTGTTTTGCTTGACTTTCTGTGAAGAAACACACACTTATAATCCAGTTTTAAGTGAAAAATCATGAAACTAGATTTTTGAGTTGAAACTTTATGATTCAATATTTAATAATGCCATCCTTAAAAATTCACGCATGTGAATGAAAATCTTTTCTCATTCAGAGTATATCTTTTTATTGAGAAAGACATGTTTAAACAGCAATTCGACTTCTGCACTATGAGCAAGTGTATTTTGTTTAAGATACAAACCACAGAGATTCAGTGTCTCTCTCTTGTAAAAGTACCCTGCCAAAATGTTGACTCAGAGCAAACTTTAACGTAACACCCAACCTGTAATTATGTCCATTCTCCTCTGGATGTGCTAGGTCAGGTCAGGAGGGGGCGGTGGGGGAGAGACGGAGAGACCGAGACAGATGTTGAATGACAGCCAGAGGGAATTAAGTGTGCAGCACAGCCAGCCAGGACTTCAACGTGGGGACCTGTTCAGGAAGCATGTGTGGGGTCTGTGGTACAGTCATTTTTTTTCAAAATTATCATAGAAATGAGGTAAATACTCATGTCATTCTCAATTTTGAAATGATTTAGGTAGGTGTGTTTTAAAACCTGAAACACTGTATTATTTCCTTTCCCTCCTCTTTTCCTCCTCCCTGCTTTCTCTTTACCTCTTTTTCTTTCACATTTCATGCTTAGAAACACAAACACACACACACGCACACATGCACTGAACACACACACATACACACACACAACGGACACATGCACTGAACACACATGCATGCACGCACCAGACACACACACACTGGACACACACACACATGTACCAGACACACACACACAGAACACAAACACATGCACAGAACACATACATACACATACACCGAACACACTCACATGCACGCATCGAACACATGCACACATGCACACACACACATATGCACTGAACACACACACACAGAAAGTTGAGGTATTCATTTAAATGTATATTTTTCTGTAGTGCACATTAATGAGTTAATCAACTGTCACTGAGAATTGAACCCGTCACATAAGCATCTCCATAACTGATTTGTTTGTGTGGAAATCTATGTATTTGACATTTGATAAACACTTCATTTGGAATTTAAATTATAAGCTTTTAAAGGCTTGTTTTTTATAATTAAATATTTTATTTTCTTCCAATAATGTGCTGACATGAAAAGAAGAATTTCTGCATAAAAGTACTTAGGTTTATCAAAAGTCTAACATAAAATGAGTTGGAGAAACATTTGTCACAACTGTAAAGGACAAATATTTAGTTATCTTGCTATACAGAGAATTTTTACAATAGCAAACCCTACATAAAAGTGAGCAAGCAATTCAAAGATTAAGGAAATATTAAAGGTACAAAACACAAAAATACACTCAATTGCAAGCAAAAGGAATATATACTATTCCATCAAATTTGCAGACTCAAAAAGAATTAATAGTTCATTTTTAAAATTTTTTAATTTTTAATTTTAT